AGCAATGTCATAACCTCCTCACCCTCCCCAGCTGTGCCTGCACCTTGCAAACACGGACAGCAATGTCATAACGTCCTCATCCTTCCCCCAGCTGTGCCTGCAAACATGACAGCAATGTCACACTGTCCTCACCTCCGCCAGCTGTGCCTGCCCCCAGCAACAGTGACAGGCAATGTTCACACGTCCCTATCCTCCCGCGTGCCGCCCTGCAAAACTGACAGCATGTCAGCGCTCCTCATCCTCCCCCAGCTGTGCACTGCAAACATGACAGCAACAGTCAACGTTCCTCAATCCTCCCCAGCGCCTGCTGCCTGCAAACATGACAGCAATGTCACACGTCCTTCATCCTACCCTCACTGCAACAGCGCCTGTACAACGTCATTTCCCACGCCGAACTGACAGTAATGTCGCACGTCCTCATCCTCCCCCAGCTGCGCTGGCAAACATGACAGCATGTCACACGTACTCATGCTCCCCAGCTGTGCCTGCCCAACATGACACCAAGTCACATCCTCATCTCCCCCATGCTGCCGCTGCAAACATGACAGTAATGGTCGCACGATTCCTCAATCCTCCCCAGCCTCGCCTGCAAACACGACAGCAATGTCACACGTCTGCTCATCCTTCCCCAGCTGTGCCCTGAAACATGACAGCAATGTCACACGTCCTCATCCTCCCCCAGCTGCACCTGCAAACACGACAGCCAAGTACACACGTCCTCATCCTCCCCAGCTGATCCTGCAAACACGACAGCAATGTCACACGTCCTCATCCATCCCCCAGTGACTGCATAAATGACGAGCAATGTCAACGTCCTCTCCGTATCCCCCAGCTGACCTGCAAACATGACAGCAATTCACACGTCCTCATCCCCCACAGGCACCTGCAAACATGACAGCAGAATGTCACCCACTCCTCAGCTCCCCCGCTGCGCTGCAAACATGACAACAATGCTCACACGGCCTCATTCGCCCCAGCTGCCGACCTGAAAACATGACAGCAATGTCACACTCCTCATCCTCCCACAGCTGTGCTGCAAACATGACAGCAATGTCCACACGTCTGCACAGTCATCGACAGGTGTGGCTTTGACGAAACCCTGTTTTATTTACGTCTATTTTTTTGCATTGTACAGCTCAAGTACGTCGCACGATGTAGGTCTCCTTAGATGCTCACGTAGCTGCAGGAGCCCATCGACAGTATTGCTTGACGAAAACCCGTTTATTTACTTGCTACTTATTGTGCTTTGTCATGACTTTAAGTTTCGATGAAAATAAAACAATTAAGTGATGTATTTATCGCAAATGTATCCACTGATTTATTATAATATGCTTACTATCGCTCTTATAGATTTTGTTCTGGTAAACTGACATGAGAAAGGAGATTCACAAAGAGGTGAAGAATGCCAAGAAAAATGTGATTGCCAAGAAATGCCCTTCTTAAAACATAGCAAAGAAATCGATGAGAGGGTTAATCTAACTGATCCCAAATCCGGGTTTAGCACTGCTGCCATTTATCAGATTAGATTCCTCATAGGTGATATAATTAATTAATTCATAGTTTATATTAATTTATAAATAAGTTCATTAATATTAATTAATAAGCCATTTATCGTGGGAGCGTTGCATACCTCCATGAGACGTGTTGAGGTTAACGTAGTCTCTTGTTGTTCTCGAATGCCCCACGACCCTGTCCTTCTTCGAGTTGATTCTGCCACTCGGTATCCATCAGTAAGAGGACAGCTTTTCTGTTTCCTGGCCATCCGATACATCCGATCCTATTGTTGCTTAGGAAAACAACAAAAAGTTGGAAATGTTCAGCGAAGTTTAATCACAAACTAGTTTGTCAAGACGCAGAGAATGAAACATTAACGTAGTTTTGCAAAACAATACTTTGTGCATAGAAACTACATTATGTTTAGTCTGTTACGTTAATTCAGATGATGATTACAAACATCACATAACCGTTTGCAATACATGCATAATAATTAATTTTTTTATAACACTGAACTCGTTCATAACCTGTTTAACCTTCAAAAAACGCTTTTACTTTATAAAATATCATTTGGATGTCTGTTAACAAAACAAGACAGTGGAGAGACTTCCAAAGAAGCTGCTTCCAATTACCCAACCACTAGCATATGCCACACAAACTCTACTCTGGAGAAAGAGATCAAACACCAGACGCGATATGACAATTCTTGAAATCCGTACCCTATCCTATTGATTACACCAGTTACATTCATGCTCCCCTCACCATCTCATTCTCACTCGTATGACTTTCATGGGAATATCCACATCTTGGGCGCCGAGGCCAAAGCAACAGCAAACATCGCTGTCTGGAACCTGGAAGTTTTCACCCATATGCCAACTCTTCTTCCGTGAGAAACTCTCCTTCTTGCTTCAAGCTGCAGCTGACGCCATGACATGGAAAAAATTCCAGATGTTCCACATGGTGCGTGGTAGCTTGAATATAAATGGTTAGGGTAAATAGATAAAGCACTGTACACACACACACGCACCGCACAGCATGCACACCACACACGGCACGCCACACACGCACGACACGCACAACATTGCACGCACACACCACACACAACACACACAACCACACACACACACACGCCACACCACACACGCACACACACACACACACAACACACACCACACACACACGCACACACGTACACACACACACACGCTACACACACACACACACACACACACACACAACACCACACACACACACACACACAGCACCACCATCGCCACACATTCACGTATGCAACACACGTCACTTACCCTTTTTTACGCCAAACAGCCCAACACATTCGTGCTGCCGGGCGACCCTCTCCTCCTTCGACCCATCGCCACCTCTCCCTCCTCCCGCTTCTCTGCTTCTCCTCCTCCGCCTCCTGCGGTTGCACTCGCCACGAGTCATTGATTCGCTGTGCCGGCGGTCGCGTGAGAGCGCGCCGGCAGCATGCGTGGCGGAGTTGGCATGCGAGCCATGAAGCTCGGCTTGCCGCGGCAGGCCGGCCAGCAGAGCGCGGTAAACGCTGCGTTGACTCTGCTGCGTCCTGTTATACGTCTGAAAGCCAACACGTCGTCAGAGTTACAGCCCGCGTCGCGTCGTCGCCGCCGCATGACACGAGACTTACCGGTAAGCGTCGGTATATGGCAGTGCGTCAAGCACAATTGAAAAAATCTTTGTTTGCCTCACCCGACTTAGGCTGAAAAGTTTGCTTGTAGTTTAGGCTTGTCTTTTTAGAGGGGGGTCATTTTTTACAATTTAGCATGGTGTCTACATGCTCGGCCGGCCAGCTGTGCTGTGTGTGGCAAGATACTTTTATGTAATGATTGTTATGCTTGTACATATAATGTATTCGTTACAGATTTATCTAATGTACAGTGCATACAATTTGTTAAAAAAAGTATTTGGGAAAGGTCAACTAAAAGAATTTCGAGTCGGCCCCTTTTTGCGCGAGGTGTCGTCGGGTGGGGCAAACAAACAACTATTTTTATTATGCCTATCGCATGTGAGGAGTCGCGTGAACTGTAACATGTATAAATGCAGGCATCTCCACCGCAGTCACCACAGACAGTCCGCAGAGGGGGGATGTCACTTGTTTACGGGATGTGATACTTACACGCCTCGTCACGCATACGCAAATCGCAGTGAATCGTAAAATCGAAATGAATAATCCCTAAGATCCTAGTAATGTGGCGGATGCTTACGGTAATATGTTGTATCGCTTATATTCGCCCGTCATCGTGTGTATCGCCATGAGTATGATATGCGTAGACGCAGAGATCCTCGTGCACGGTCTTAGTTAACTACCATGGATGTTCACATAGTTTCCTGACATAATAGTTATACTTCAATCACCGATACGCGCGTATCGCACTTGGTAAACGAATGGAATCTCTGCATGTCGTTTATAACTGGGTAGCCCTAGGAAAGCTGTATATACTCTACATCTGACCCTCGTTTACTCTACTATAGCTAATTTTCCTCACCTGCTCCTCCTTGCCTTCCAGTGACAGCATGACTAATCTTCCTTGCCGTTCCTTCCTGTTCGGACCCATACGTGCACCAGCCTAAGTTACCAACCAACCGATACCTGTTAGCACGTGAGTAAGGTCTAACCAACATTATTAATTAAAAGAATAAAAAGGAACAGGAAAGCGCTACTTGCTACCTATAGGCGGAGGCGGCCATGGTTTATGCACGTAATTGTTTACGCAATTTCATTCGTAAGGCGAACCCGGACTCAAGCCGAATGGAAATTCGAATCTTTGAAACACGCTGCATTTGTTTATTCATCGGAAATAGGAGTATGCAACATAATTTGCTATACGTAAGAATATTAATATAATCAAGATATAACATATAAACTGTTGCAAAATTCAGACGTTCACAACTCAGGATATTACACAAACTTCATGAACAAACTAATAACACTGCCCGGTACCTAACGAAATGCATATAATGAGGTCTTAATTACATCCTACACCTGAGTACTACGAGTAAGGGTAGGAGGGAGGGGGTTCATCGTTTGTCGTACTAAGAATTACACATGAAAGACAACTCACATTTCTCTGCCAAATTTGGAAAATGAACACGTTCTTTCACTCTGTTGAATTGAAGGATGGAGTGAGATCACGGATGTGTGTATGCTGTCGTATGTGTGTATGTGTGTGTCGTATGTGTGTATGTGTGTGTCGTATGTGTGTACGTTGTTGTCTGTATGCTCAAGATAAAGTCAGTAATTAATTTTGAACGACCCCCATACCTGCAGAAATCTCGCGCGTTGCCATGGCGAGGCGGCGAGACTCTCGGCGAATCAGGAACCACCGTCACCCCCTTGCCGACGCGCGTTCCCTCGCCGATCGCTACCGATACCGCTACCGCTACATCCCGGTGATGATCCTTGGACGCTGTCTCCGTAGTGGCCGACTCTCTACTTCTGCTGACATCCGCGCACGATCGGCCGGCAACAACGCGATCGGACGCCGACTTGGCAGACGCTGTCTTCGACGGCGGGATTATCCGGCTTGCGTTCGTCACCATGGATGCGAACCCTCGTTGCCGCGGCGACGGCGGCACGACGTCGTCGTCCTCCTCCAGGAAGCTGTCGACGTCGTCGACGAGGTCAAAGCCGAGGTCAAGTTCAAACTCGCGGCCGTCCTTGCTCCGCGCGCGCGACACCTCGCCGCCGTCGTTGCAGTTCACGGATCCCGCGTCATCTGGCTGGCCAGCGAGAGACACCGGCGGTTTGGCGTCCGAGGGAGAGGGTGGAGCGAGCACGGAGGTCAGGTCGTCGTCAAAGTCAAAGCCAAGGTCAAACTCGGGAGCGGTTTCGACGTCGACGATCGGCCGACTTTCCTCTGCCGCGAATTTCACCGCCGCCGGAGTCGTGTCTGCAGCGGCAGCAGAAGAGCGAGCGATGATGAGAGACGTGGCGGTGCTGGCGGCGGCAGCAGAGGAGCGAGCGAAGGTGATAGAGGCGTCGGCGTTGGCGTTGGCAGTATTGGCCGCGGCAGGGGAGCAGCGAGCGAAGCTGAGAGAGGCGTCGGCCGTGCGATTCACGTAGTCGACCGCCTGCGTGAGATCGAACCACGACCCGTCGGCCGCCGTCGTCCCCGCCATTGCTGCCGCCGCGGTGCCGGGCCACGCCTCGTAGTCACGCTGCGACGGTGTGCGCACGTCAGCGTTCATCCACGCCCCGCCACTGCACAACGCCTGAGAACCGCCCGCGACGCGCGGTGACCGGGGAATGGAGGACACCGCCGCTGCCATGTCCCCGCATGGAGACACCTCGCTTGGCTCTCCCTCGGGTGGAGCTTTCTGCTTGTCTCTGGAGGAGGTGTTTCCACGCGCACCGGTGCGATGGCCAGAGAGGTACCCGGCGAAAGGCATCGCGGAGGTTCCACCCTCCGACTCGCCGCGCTCGCAGAGAGAGGCTGAGGAGGAGGAGGAAGAGGAAGCCACTGCAAGACGTTCCTTCAATCTGCCGTCGTCGCCGCCGCCGCCGCCGCCTGACAAGTAGTTGTGGAACGGCAGCATCTGCTCGTCGCTGTGGACGCGCACGCTGTCGGCTGCTGCTAACAACCCGTCGTCGTGGATACGCGCGTCGCCCGCGCGGGCGGGGCTGCAACGATCGCGCGTATCCGCATCACTGGGTGCTGCGGTCGTCGCCGGCCGATCCACCCGCGGGTGAACGCTGGGGGAGGATGTATTTCTGCGGCGCGGCGCGATGCGCACGGCGTCCACTGCTACCGACATCTTTCTACGTCTCGCGCCGGGAGCAAGAGCGACCGCAGGTACGCCGGTCACCACAGGCATGTCTGTCTTCATAGGTGAGCCCATCATCACAGGTAGTTCTTTGATTGCAGGTACGCTGGTTCTCACAGTTAAGTCGATCATCACAGGTATGCCAGTCTGTACAGGTGGATCTTTCGCCGGTGAGCGCGCCTCCGCTGCGACGTCACCCCGCGTGGCGCGCGCGTCGTCGCCGCCCCGCCCCTCCCGCTCCCACTCCTCCACCATCTCTAGCACGTCGACGGGGGAATGCGGTCGCGTGAGGAAGCTCAGGTCCACCGCGGCCGCGCTGGGGGGCGTCGGCACCCTGTACCGCGCCCCGCCCTCGCTCCCCCTGCCCCTTGCTCCCCCCGCCCGCCCGCCACTGCGTTACGCTCTCGTCCACCCGATCCTCTGATGCTGCCGTCACCACCCTCGCTCTCCTTAACCCCGCTGTGCCGGCGCGAGATTACACTACGAGTAAAATGAGCGCGGATCAATGACCAGTGCTAAGCGACGTCAAGCGATCCCGACCCCAGACCGAGCCGGTTTCATCTCCCCAATACCAAACATGGCCCTTCGGATCGCTTAACAACCCGGCGCTGGCCACGGCCGCTCTGCCGTGGCGCGCTGCGCTTGACAGGATACCCTTGCGTCTATGCACCAGGGAGGACCGACCGCCTTGCTACGAAGAACGAACGCGCCTCCCCGCGACGTCTTCTCGCTGCGGAAGAGCCGCTAATCGCAGAGGCGACCTTGTCGTCATTCGACGAGGCCGCGAGCTTGTGAGCCCTCATGACAGGCGACCACTTGCGTCTATGACAGGAGCTGCATCACCACTCTGATAGACTCATAGGGCCACAGACCACGATCACCCGTGACGCGGCTACTCGTCGTGTGGCGACCAAGAGGACTATAAGTAAGCAATACGGCACCTCGCCTGTTCGCATTATGAGCGCGTCACAAACTCATTCCTAGGACGTGACGGGTCACTGCGAAACGTACTGCTAAAGTCAATCATCCCAAGTGGATAGTGGGATGCGCGCATCGGCGGGGCCACGCACTCGGCCTTCCATCCATCGCGCCGTCGCAAATGCGTCGTCGGCTCGTCGTCAGGCAGCGCTTGCGGCCGCAGCATCTCTTCCCTCTTCATTCAGCAGGCGACGGGCGAGGAAGCGGCAGCGCGCGGCATTCCCCGCATGCTGGCGTCTCGTCGTGCTGTCACCCCGCACCGCCTCGAGACCGCGGCTGAGACCATCTCTCGAGATGCGATATCACGCTCGATGCTGGTATGCGAGTTCCTGCCGTGGGCGATTCTCCTCGATGCAGGGCGAGTTCCGTCGTCCGATTCCTCGCTGGACGACAGCACGACGACGCACGGTTCCTTCTCTGGTTTTCCTCTCCATCTCTGGTTCTCCCTCTGGTTATTCCCCTTTCGTTTTCCATCGCCGCTCCGCTTGCATAACTCCGCCGTTTCGCTCGACTTGGCGATGCCCGGAGCCCAACCGAACTGGCCATGTGCGCCACCGTTCGCCATCACCGCGTCGTCTGCGCGACGCGACACCCGAGAATGCTGGGAGGTCGTCTGCGCATCAACGCCGCGTCCTCTTGAATTCGTCGGCAGAGAGCACGGCAGTTTTAATCCGCCGCCGTTTCTTCGCTCCTGCCCGTTCGACCTTCGCAACCGGTCCGGTCGTCACGCGATGGTGTCTCCGGAATGACCGTGCGAGTACCTGTGAAGAATTCCCTGCCAAGTGAAAAAAAAGCGATTTTGCTTATACGGTTCTCATGCGGATATTAATAAGAGGTATCTTTTCCCGACCTTTCTTGTGCCCTGTGCTGTGAACTTGTAATGCACTAACAAGGCAGGTGCAAGGGTCGATATATGCACGCAGGAGTGAGCGAGCATGCATCATGTCTTAAGCAGCATGCTATGTATCATACTATGTATATAACATTTTTTGTGTTACGTTGTTATATTATACTGTATTATATTATATTATATATATTATATTATATTATATTAATTATATTATATTATATTATATTATATTAATATTATATATATTACAATACATTTCATTAACTTATATTAATATTTTTCAGGAGAGAATAAAATCAAATTATGTTTAATCGCCTCTTGACATTACATTACATTATGCATCTGCGGGAACAAAGCCACGACTAAACAATCGATGTGCGAGTCAAGGAAGAAGCCACGTACCTTCTCCGCCGGCGCCGGCAAGGTTCCTCTCTCCTGGCTGCAGCACGTCAGCAGTGTTGATGTTAGGCAGCCATCTCCTCCCCGTACACGTCCTCATCCTCCCCCAGCTCGTGCCTGCACCTGCCAAACACGGACAGCAATGTCACACGTCCTCATCCTCCCCCAGCTGTGCGCTGCACCTGCAAACATGACAGCAATGTCACACGTCCTCATCCTCCCCCAGCTGCGCCTGCAAACATGACAGCAATGTCACACGTCTTCACCCTCCCCCAGCTGTGCCTGCACCTGCAAACACGACAGCAATGTCATACGTCCTCATCCTCCCCCAGCTGTGCCTGCAAACATGACAGCAATGTCACACGTCCTCACCCTCCGCCAGCTGTGCCTGCAAACATGACAGCAATGTCACACGTCACTCATCCTCCCCAGCTGTGCCTGCACCTGCAAACACGACAGCAATGTCATACGTCCTCATCACTCCCCCAGCTGTGCCTGCAAACATGACAGCAATGTCACACGACGTTCCTCACCCTCCGCCAGCTGTGCCTGCAAACATGACAGCAATGTCACACGTCCTCATCCTCCCCCCAGCTGTGCCTGCACCTGCAAACATGACAGCAATGTCACACGTCCTCATCGCTCGCCCCAGTGCGGGCCTGCAAACATCGACAGTAATGTCGCACGTCCTCATCCTCCCCCAGCTGCGCCTGCAAACATGACAGCAATGTCACACGTACTCATGCTCCCCCAGCTGTGCCTGCAAACATGACAGCAATGTCACACGTCCTCATCCTCCCCCAGCTGCGCCTGCAAACATGACAGTAATGTCGCACGTCCTCATCCTCCCCCAGCTGCGCCTGCAAACACACAGCAAGTCACACTCCCACCTCCCCCAGCTGTGCCTGCAAAACATGACAGCAATGTCACACGTCCTCATCCTCCCCCAGCTGCACTGCAAACATGACAGCAATGTCACACGTCCTCATCCTCCCCCAGCTGCACCTGCAAACACGACAGCAATGTCACACGTCCTCATCCTCCCCCAGCTGTGCCTGCAAACATGACAGCAATGTCACACGTCCTCATCCTCCCCCAGCTGCACCTGCAAACATGACAGCAATGTCACACGTCCTCATCCCCCAGCTGTGCCTGCAAACATGACAGCAATGTCACACGTCCTCATCCTCCCCCAGCTGCACTGCAAACCTGACAGCAATGGTCACACGTCTCATCCTCCCCCAGCTGCCGCCTGCAAAACATGACAGCAATTGTCAACACGTCCATCCTCCCCCAGCTGTGCCTGCAAACATGACAGCAATGTCACACGTTCTGCACAGTTCATCGACAGGTGTGCTTGGACGAAACCCCCTGTTTATTTACGTCTATTTTTTTGCATTGTACGACTCAAGTACTGTCGCACGATCGTATGTCTCTAGATGTCACGTACTGCAGAGCCCATCGACAGTATTGCTTGGGACGAAAACCCGTTTATTTACTTCTACTTTTTGCTTTGTATGACTTTAAGTTCGACGAACATAAAACAATTAAAGTGTGTATTATCGCAAATGTATCCATACTGATTTATTATAATATGCTACGCTCTTATAGATTTGTTCTTGGTAATATGACATGAGAAAGGAGATTCACAAGATGGTGAGAATGCCAAGAAAAAAGATTGGCATCTTAAATACATAGAAAGAAATCGATGAGAGGGTTAAACTAACGTGATCCCAAATCCAGGGTTTGCACTTGCTGCCCTTTATCCAAGATTAGATTCCTCATAGGTGATATAATTAATTAATTCATAAGTTTATATTAATTTATAAATAATTCATTAATAATTAATTAATTAAGGCATTATCGTGGGAGGTTGCATACCTCCATGAACGTGTTGAGGTTAACGTAGTCTCTTGTTGTTCTCGAATGCCCCACCGACCCTGTCTTCTGCAGTTGATTCTGCCACGGTATCCACTCAGTAAGAGACAGCTTTTGCTGTTTTCCTGCCACCGATACATCCCGATCCTATTGTTGTTGGAAAACAACAAAAAGTTGGAAATGTTCAGCGAAGTTTAATCACAAACTAGTTGTCAAGACAGCAGAGAATGAAACATCTAACGTATGTTTTGGCAAAAAAATACTTTGTGCATAGCAACTACATTATGTTCTGTTGTTAATTCAGATGATGATTACAAATTCCACATAACCGTTTTGCAATACATGCTAATAATTAATTTTTTTATAAACACTGAATCGTTCATAACTGTTTAACCTTCAACCTTTATTTTATAAAAGATCATTTGGATGTCTGTTAACAAAACAAGACAGGGGAGAGACTTCCAAAGAAGCTGTTCACAATTACCAACACTAGCATATGCACACAAACTGTACTCTGGAGAAAGAGATCAACACCAGACGGATATGACAATTCTTGAATCGTACCCTATCCTAATCTGATTACACCAGTTACATCATGCTCCCCCTCACCATCTCATTCTCACTGTATGACTTCAGGGATATCCATCTTGGGCGCCGAGGCAAGACAGCAACATCGCTGTCTGGAACCTGGAAGTTTTCACCCCAATATGCCAACTCTTCTTCCGTGAGAAACTCTCCTTCTTGCTTAGCTGCAGTGACGCCATGCATGGAAAAAGTTCAGATGTTGCACATGTGCGTGGTAGCATTGAATATAACGGTTAGGTAAATAGTAAGCTGTACACACACACGCATGCACGCACGCACACACGCACGCACGCACACACACACACTCACATACGTACACACACCCACACACACACGTACACACACGCACACACACACACACACACACGTACACACACTCGCACACATGCACGTATGCACACACACGTCACTTACCCTTTTTAGCAAACAGCCCCAACACATTCGCGCTGCCGGCGCGACCTTCCTGCCTCGACCCATCGCCACCTCTCCTCCTCCTCCCCTTCCTCTGCTGCTTCTCATCCTCCTCCTCCTGCGGTGCAATCGCCACGGTCATGTGCATCTTGTGCACGGCGGGCGTGAGACCGCGCGGCAGCATGCGGGGATTGGCAGCGAGCATGAGACGCTTGCCGCGGCAGCCGGCCAGCAGAGCGCGGTGAACGCTGCGCTTGCTCTGCTGGCTCGTGTTATACGTCTGAAAGCAACACGTCTCAGAGTTACTCCCGCGGTCGCGTCGTCGCCGCGCATTACAGGAGATTACGGGAGCGTCAGATATGCAGTGTCGCTCAAGCCACAATTAAAAAAATCTTTGTTTGCCCTCACCCGACTTAGGCTGAAAAGTTTGGGTAGGTAGGTAGGCTTCTCTTTTTTGAGGGGGGTCTTTTTACAAATTTAGCATGGTGTCTACATGGTATGCTTGTGTGGAGGTACCTTTTATGTTGAATGTTTGTTATTCTTTGTACATATAATGTATTGCTTACAGATTTATATAATGTACAGTAATACAATTTGTAAAAAAAAAGATTGGGAAAAGTCAATAAAAAATTCGGAGAAAATAAAAAAAATAAAAAAATAAAGAGTCGGCTCCTTTTTGGCGGGTCGGTCGGGTGAGGGCAAACAAATAATATTTTTATTATGACCTCATTGCATGTGAGAGTTGCGTGAACTGGTAACATGATAAATGAGGGCATCTCCACACGTCACCGCAGACGCAGAGGGACGCTCACTTGTTTACAGATGTGATACTTACACGCTCGCCACGTATACGAATCGAGTGAATCGTAAAATCGTAAATGAATTAATCCCTAAGCATCCTAGTAATGTGGGGATGCTTACGTTTAATAATGTGATGCTTATATTCGCCCGTCATGCATGTGTATCGCATGAGTAATGATATGGTAGACGAGAGAATCTTCGTACGTCTTAGTAACACACGAATTCACATGTTTCCTGACATAATAGTTATATTCACTCACCATACGCGCGTATCACACTTGGTAAACGAAGGAATCTCTGCATGTCGTTATAACCTGGGGTATAGCATCTAGGGAAGAGTAATACTCTACATTTGACACTCGTTTACTGTACTATAGTACATTTTCTCACCTGCTCCTCCTTGCCCTCGGTGACCAGCATGACTATCTTCCCTTGGCGTTTCCTTCCTGTTCGACCCATACGCTGCACCAGCCTAAAGTTACCAAAACCCAACGAACCTTTTAGCAGCGAGTAATGGACTACCCAACATTTTAATAAAAGGAATAAAAAGGAAAAGGAAAACGCTACTTGTCCTATAGCGGGGGTCCATGGGTTATGCACGTAATTGGTTCCAAATTTCATTCGTAAGGCGAACCCGGAACTCAACCGATTTGAAAAACGCGGCATTTGTTTATTCATCCGAATAGGGGTATGGAACAATAATTGCTTACGTAAATATAAAATATAATCAACATAAATAACATATAAACTGTGCAAAATTTCAGACGTTCACAACTCAGGATATTACCAAACTTATGAACAACTAATAACACTGCCGTGAAACCTAACGAAATGCATATTAATGAGTCTTAATTACGCTTGTCTCCTCGTCAGTCAACGGTCATGCATTCTGCGCTATGTTCGTGGGCTACATTCTCTACCTGGTGGGACTCTTGTGAGCGTCGTAGCAGACGATGAGGTCGACATCGCCTATGTCCAGGCCTTCTTCCCCGACGCAGGTCGCGACGATCGTGTTGTAGCCGCCCTCGCGGAACTCTCTCACCACCTGTAGAACAGCACGAGTAAGCAGTAGCTGTAAGAAGCCAGCGATGGAACTGCTCCCTCCGATACGCCGCGTGGGGCGATGGGATGCATAAATCTCTCCACGTTCTTACTGTTACAGATGCTTATACAGGGGTTAGCCACTGATCTCTTCATCCAGGCAATATAACGACGCCGATAAGATTGTTGTTGAAAACGATGCCAGAAAGATGGATTCGACGGTGGAAAGTAGTGAGGTAAACGCTTGCACTTACTTAAAGCGATTGCACGCAAAAATTTTCGAAAAAACATGTATAATTACTAATTTTTAATGAATGCCAATCGTTTACCAATGAATTACCAATTGTTTAAATGTTAACCAATTTAATTGCCGCAAGATATTCACGTGAACGCCCGCACAGCGACAGCAAGAGTGAGACAGTGACAGCGACAGCAAGAGTGAGACAGTGACAGTGACAGCAAGAGTGAGACATTGACAGCGACAGCAAGAGTGAGACAGCAACAGCGAGACTGAGAGTGAGAGTGAGAGCTGGGGAGGGACGCACCTTCATCTGTTCCTTCTGGGTGACACCCTTCGTGGACTTGCTGGCGGTGGACTGACCGACGAAGCTCATCACGCGCACGGTGGGTGCGTGTCGACGCAGCACGGCCGCGATCTCCGCCACGCTGTCACGATACTGAGAGAAGATCATCACCCTCGTGTTCGCTACGAGAAAAATTAACTCTTCAGCTATTATTATAAAATTATATAATATAAATCAGTGGTTGTTAACCTGTGGTCTATGGACCCCTTTGGGGTCAGTGGATGGGCTTCAGGGGGTCCGTGAACCAGGCGCATGCAAAATTATGTATTTATGTGCTTATGTGCATTTTTCTGGGGAGGGGCCCATAGCTTTCACCAGATTCTCAAAGGGGTCCATGATTCAAAGGAAGTTAAGAACCACTGATATAAATAAAATTATCGCTGAACATTTCCCGGATGGAAACGGACGCGGCGAGAATCGCCCGACTAATCCTAATGTGTGGAGTGAGTGATTCAAGGAGTGTGCCGACAGTTACGCTAGGTCTCTGTAATAAAATAAAACTTATCAGTATCACATCTGTAATAACGTTTTAACAATTACTAGTTGTGTTCAGTTTTAACATATTTTCATCATTATTTTGACCTAATTTCGGTTCATTTCTAACTGCTCTATCAATTTCTCCTTTTTCCTACTTGATTAAGTTCCCTTATGCCCAGCCAATAACTAATTACGTATATATCTCTAACATGTGTTCCATTGATCATTCATTGCTATCTAACGTTACAGCTCACTAACCTGACTGGTTCTGACGGAAGTGGTCGACTACAATCTTCTCCAGCTTCTCTATTTTCGGATGGCTGTAGATGCGTGGTGACGCTAGCGTCCCGGCGAGGGAAGCACCTGCAAAGTCAGCGTGCATCAATAAAGTGATTACGTCACAGTAACTAGTAAAAGTTGTTAAAAAAATGTCCACTTTTTTGCAAAATGTAAGTGATACTGTTAACTTTTTATGGTTAAATTGCTGCATTATACTTCTTATTTTGTTATTCCATTCGATGTGAACAAACACCCATGACTCATACATAGCCCATAGCAAGCATTTAATATCATGATCAATATATCAAATCGCCCAGATTTTTTTTATTTTTAACTAGTTGAAGAACAATCTTATCGGGTAAGAACTTGAGGATACATTTAGTGCCGTTATTACTTACTTTTCATGTAAAAAATTGCAACCTAATTTTTTTAAATATACACTACAGAAAATTCGTGACGTAGTCAATGAAAGATGAGAGCGAAACTGGTGCACGTCGTCAGGAACATCATGAGTACTTACGACATCGAATCCAAGATGGCATAACTTTCGAAATGGAGTGCTGGGCAAGGGTCATGGCATTACAGACTTTACTGGAACACGATTCTGAAGATAGATGATCGGGGAGAATGCTGGAGAAGAACACTAGGGGAGGATACTGGGGAAGGATATTGGGGGAAGGAAACCAGGGAAGGATGCTGGATGAGGATGCTGAGGAGGGATGCTACAGGAGCATATGTTGAGGGGTCAGGTGTGCTGTGCTTACCTGCGCGAGTGGCTTGTGATGCACGATTGTTGTCTACCTGTGACGACGACACGCTGTACTTGGCTTGCACGTGCTCCATGATCTCAATGAAGGCCTGATTACGCATCAGCTCAGCACGTGTTCTCGGGTTGCTCTTGACGCCTTCTAATATTCCCTGATAACAACACGAGCACTTCCCCCTTAGCTTTATACGAAGAAGAGGGCTAGGTGTAAACTGCGGGGGTGCAGTTCCAGTGGGTTAGCTAACTGGGGATTCAGTGAAGACATTTGAACCAATGTTAGCAATGAACAACTGGGTTAAACTAATAGTAAACTACAAACCTAACAGAGATATGATGTAGAGAGTGGGAGAGAGAGCATACATTACTGTTCATACATATCGAGTTAGAGCATCAGAGTTAAAATATTGGTGTTATTAAACATCATAAGAGATGAAAAGTGGCTAAAGAGATGTGGGAAAAGAGAGGGTAGGACAAGAGCTTGTGAGAGAACGCTTGCAAATATCACCAGTGAGCCTGGTGCTGTTTCAATTTATGCCGATACCATGAATAACTGGTGTAATCTACAAGGCAGAACGTTCATTCATACATACTTGCAGAAAATTGTGGAAAGACTTGATTCCGTGGAGCACGAGCAATTCTAGGCCGTGATAAAGACTCGTGCACATCGCAAAATCGCCCTCCACCGTGCCATACTGGCCCCTCGGCAACGACGACGGCGGGTTCTGCCGAAACTCCTCACGTGCGCGAAGCAGCTGGAACTTGGAGAGGCTGAGCAGGTTGTTACAGCGCAGCACGTAATTATTGCTGAGTCTCCTGACGACCACGCCCACCACCTAGGTTTTTTGCGACAAAAAACATCATGAAACGATTTTTAACGCTGTTGCGATAGCAATGTTTGCTTGCGAATGACTGAACCATGGTGATTTAGCTGTAATACTATATGCTGTGTTCGCACTGTACAAAGCTAAAATATATTCATGCTGCATAACACTATACTCTGTATTCACAGCATATAATACTAAGCTGCATTGACAAACCAGAAGGAAATCCAGAGAACGCGGGAGAGAGCGAGACAACCCGACCAGGCGCGCACGTGCGACTCTGGTGTCGGCGTGTTGCCATGACGACAACCCGACCCATCATGTGCACCACTGTCGTGTCAGCGTGTTGCCATGACGACAACCCGACTCATCACGCGCACCGCTATAGCATCAGCGCGTTGCCGCGACGACAATTAACCCGACCTATCACGCACGCCGCTATAGCGTCGGCGCGTTGCCATGACGACAAACCGACCCATCACGCGCACCACGATAGCGTTGGTGAATTGCCGTGACGACAACGTGCCTCATCACGCGCGCCACTATAGCGTCGGTGCGTTGCCGTGGCGACGGCGCACCTGCAGGTACTTGTCTCGCAGCGCGGTGAGCTCGGGTCCGAGCGAGACGACGTGTTTCTCGACGAGACGCTCGTGCGTGTACGGCGTGATGTCGGGCGAGTCATCGCTGCGCAGCTCCACGTGCGAGACGAGCAGGTTCGTGAGCACCTGCTGCACCACCTGGTGGCAGAGAAACACAACGCCGCTGACGGACACAACGTGCAACACCGTAACAGAAGATCAGTAGCTGTATCTCGCTTGGCTTTGAGGTTTATAATTGTATTAATTATTATTAATACTATTTTTTTTATTAGTAGTAGTAGTAGTATTTAGTATTATTATTATTGCTATCATTATTATTATAAGTACTATTATCACCAATGAATAGCTTTGTTATGAACAAAGGCATAGTGGTTCTACAACCAGGTTTACTGGTAGTCTAGGTGTATATAAACTAACTACCAAACAAATTACTAAGTATATTTTACCTTTAGGTCACCACCAGGTGTTGCACTGAGTGCTAGCATTCTGAATTGCTTATTATAGATATGTAGTTCTCTGACAACCTGCATACAAAAACTCATGTATTCATCAATACAAAATTATCAAATTTTCCACATATTGCGCTTTCACAAACCGTAACAAGTGAAAGCACACATGTCTATGTAGAAATATTATCATATAGAATATTATATGGCGAGACTATTCGCTGATTCCACTCTATATGGCCACGTTCTGTAATACCCTAAACACGTACACTACGTATGCATATGCATGCACACGCACACATGCATGCACTCACATGCATACGCATACAGGGCACGACAATTGCCACAGGCAGAAGTGATGGCAAAACCTGTTGGTGCCCTCCTTACTTGCCATCGTGCCTATGAAAAATGGTGGATACCCTTCGCAATAAACTACCATGGCTGCTCTACCTAATTTGCCACCAAGCTCTTCCCACGAATTCCATGTAGAATATATACATATGTATATATATATATATATATATCAGGAGTAGATAATAGGGAGGAGTGTG